GAAGACCAGGCGCAGTGTTGGGGATAAACAGGAAGAGGTTCAGGGCTGGTGAGCTCCCAGGGTCCTAGAGGACGCCTGTGGCGCATATGCAGAGAGAGCCAAGTCCCAGGTTTGAGTACTGACTGACCTGGTGGAGGAAGAAGGTAACTCCTGTCTTACGCTTATAGTTCTGCTTCCTCCAAAGTTTTCCCTGTCTGCATCAGTGTTTCTTAAAGTGGGTGTTGCAGCTACCCTCACGAATCACGAATCACGACCATCCTGTTATTCGTCGATTGCCTCGAGCAGGCCCCAGTAACGTCTCCTTCATCCTAGCCCTGAGATTATATTCAAGGCTCTTTAGGAGAATGAGACCCATCATTGTTACTGGTATTTGGCATATTGGGTATGCCACGGGGAGTTTGCCAGACTCTGCCGTGTGGGCAGGCTACATTCGGTAGCCTTCCAGTTTGTCCAAAGTAGGAATGAGATAATATGATGTCATAATAAGATGTTGAGCGGCCACAAATGCGGCCGCGCAGTTCCAGGAGCTGGTTTTTAGAGTCTCTGAGTCTTGGCCATTGATGAGATTACACAGCGCCAGGGGGCCAGTTGGTGGGTGTGACACCGGCCTACTGGAATTTGGAGGATCTGGGTGGAGGATGCTCGGCCCCAATCCGAGTAGGCTTGGAGATCTCGGCCCCGGAACCCGCGTGGCTTTGTCCCTCTGCTAGTACCTTCATGTGTGCGGAGAGTGGTCTCAGCATGGTGGTGGCTGGTCTGAGAGGTCTTCGGCTGTCGGCCTGCCAGCTACCCTCAATCCCCCAAAATTTATAATCATCAAGGGAGTTGGAAGTAGACTAAGGTGCAGTTTGGGGTCTCAGAGAAAAAAAATTTTTTCTGAAAAGGAGGGTTATAGGTTAATTAAGATTGAGAACCTTTGATGGCAATTTATTATTCTAATTTCTTCAAGTAGTGTTCTTGACCTTTATTTGTGTTTTATATCGTTTGAAGGCAGATCCTGTTGGATCAGAATCTAACAAATCTCATGACCTCCATTATTACTTCAAATTACTATTAACTATGACCTAGACTTTTGGCAGTAAATTTTGTTTTGGTTTTTGCTTCACACTCTGGCGATGATCAAGGGTTACTCCTGGACAACAGTGAATATTTCAGGCTTTACAGATTAGATGATCTGCTGAAGTTATGAAGCACTGTTATTACAATTCAAAGGCTGTAATGGTGTATGATAAAAGTGTTTCAGTAAAATTTCATTTTCCGACACAAGCAGTAAGCTATACATTTTGGTTAACTTTTATTAGTTTTTAAATATCAACTATTCATTTATAATATTTATTGATAATTATTGTTTGAATTAAAACTGTAGCCTTTAAAAGTACTTTGTTTTCAAACAATAAACCATATAAATAAATAACTTCTAACACATATGGATCTTGATATACTTTACTCATTAGAAGGTATTTAATATCTCTTTTGAGTTTTAAAATTTCATAATCGTGCTAGAGTGATCCTGTATACAATCTTTTCCTATTGTCTCAGACTACTGGCTCTTTCTTTCTTGTGATATTCTTTTGAGGACGGACCAGTCAGAGTCTGAGAATCTAATGTAATAAAGGCTATCTGTGGTCTATCTAAGGTAGTCGTTTTCCTGCTTATTTATATTTATCTTGTGTAGTTTGGTTTGGGAGCTGTGCCCAGCAGTGCTCAGAGCTTACTGCTGGATCTGCATTCAGGCATCACTCCTGGCAGGCTCAGGATGCTGAGGATTTAACCTGGGTTGAACATGTGCAAGGCCAGCACCTTAACTGCTGTATTATCTCTCTGGCTCAGTAGTCATCCTTCAATTTTGTAAGTAGAGTAACATAAATTTATATATAGATGTGTGTAAATACATATATAAACATACCGAATATATTATATATATTTATTTGTTCATTTATACACACACCTCATATTTTTCCATAAGTATACAAGCATCAGTTTCAACTATTTTAATTATCCATATAAAAAGAACATAATTAAATGAATAAGAAAAACAATTAAAATTCTACTTTAAATGAAAATATTAAAACCCAGATACTTAGATATTATCTTTCTAATATTGTATTTAGATTTACTTAACATGCACTATTCATATAAAGAAATGAAATTTTATAAATTTTGAATATACTTTATTTAGCAGATTTTTAGTAATATAGTTGTGGCTGATATTTTTCTCTATTAAAAATAGTATAATAGTATGCTGTGATATTGAATGATTTTAAATAATTATCTTTAATACTAAAATATTTTATTCTGAATTCAGTGATCTTTTAAATACTTTTTTATATTTTAAGGTTTTTTTGGGGGAGGGTCATATTTGGCAGCAGTCAAAGCTTACTTCTAAGCTCTGTGTTCAGGGATCATTCCTGACAGTTTTTAGGAGACCAAATATGGTGCTAGAGATTGAACTGGGGCCAGCTGTGTGCAAGATAAGCACTTTTACCCGCTGTACTGTGATTTCAGGTGAGAGGCATGGTTGGTGGCCATGAACTACCTCCCCAGGCCTCCCTAGCAGAAAAGTAGAGAAAGGGAACTCACAGATAGATGGGCAAACTGGCCTATTTAATTCCAGAGCTGAATAGCCTGTATACACTAACTGAGGGGACTCAAGAACAGGATTGTGCATATGTGTGATTGATTATTTACAGAAGTAAAGTATTTTGAGGGAGGTAATTCTCTTGGGGGGATTAATTTAAGGAAATACTCTGTCTCCCAAGGGCAATGCTAAGAAGTTTGCCCAGGGGGATCTATATTGCTTTTCTCTTTCCTTTTCTGCTGATATATCAAACAATTAATTTTATTTCTTATTAATATTTGCAGTTTTGTGGATAAACACAGTAAGATATATAGATTCCAAAACTTAGTTCTCTGGGCTCTGGGGGCATAACTGACAGCTGAGTGGGCTTTTATTATAAATCCTAGAGTAAGTCCTCAGGCCAGTTTAGCTTTCCCTACTGCATGGGGTCCTGTCTTAAGTCACATGGCTTGTATCAAAATCATGCTTTATGCTTTCTAGACTATACCATCAAAGCCAGGGTAGCTTTGCCGCTTGCCCTGGGTCTATCCAAATCCCTTGGCATGACCCACCTTCTGGTTGTTAGGAACTAAGACAACTGAAGCCTGAGTCATGTAATTATGACAGATGTTCAGGAATAGACATATTTCAGAGTCAGTTCACGAATCACGACCATCCTGTTATTCGTCGATTGCCTTGAGCAGGCCCCAGTAACGTCTCCTTCATCCTAGCTCTGAGAATTTTAAGAAAGTGCTATATTCAAGGCTCTTTAGGAGAATGAGACCCATCATTTTTACTGGTATTTGGCATATTGGGTACACCACGGGGAGTTTGCCAGACTCTTTCGTGTGGGCCGGTTACATTCGGTAGCCTGCCAGTTTGTGCAAAGTAAAATGATATAATAAGATGTCATAATAAGATGTCGAGCAGCTGCGAATGCGGCTGCGCGGTTCCGGGGGCTGGTTTTTAGAGTCTCTGAGTCTTGGCCGTTGGTGAGATTACACAGCGCCAGGGGGCCAGTTGGTGGGTGTGACCCCCGCCTACTGGAATTCGGAGTGGGGGATATTCAGCCCCGATCCGAGATCCGAGTAGGCTTGGAGATCTCAGCCCCAGGACCCGCTTGCCTTTTGTTCCTCTACCGGTACCTTCAGGTGTGCGGAGAGTGGTCTCAGCATGGTGGTGACTGGTCCTGGAGGTCTTCGGCTGCCGGAGCCCTGGTCGTGGCAGGGAGGAAAACTCAACCCGCTCCCCTCCAAGGGGCACCAGTGAGGACAGCTAGGTGTGGGGGCAGGAGACTGCACTGTTCTCTTCCAGGTGCTGGTTTTTAGAGTCTCTGAGTCTTGGCCGTTGATGGGATTACACGGTGCCAGGCGGCCAGTTGGTGGGTGTGACCCCCGCCTACTGGAATTTTGAGGATCTGGGTGGAGGATGCTCAGCCCCCATCCGAGTAGGCTTGGAGATCTCAGTCCCGGGACCCGCTTGCCTTTGGTCCTCTGCCGGTACCTTCAGGTGTGCGGAGAATGGTCTTAGCATGGTGGTGGCTGGTCCTGGAGGTCTTTGGCTGCCGTAGCCCTGGTCGGGGCGGGGAGGAAAGCTCAACTTGCTCCCCTCTAAGGGCCCCGGCGAGGATAGCCATGTGCGGGGGCAGGAAACTGCACTGTCTCTTCCGGGAGCTGGTTTTTAGATTCTCTTAGTCTTGGCCGTCAGTTAACTCCCAAATATTAGGAGGATAGCATTAATGGTCTTTATGTGTTTATGCAAAGAACATTGCTCTATAGTAAAATATGAAAAGTCTATAGGGTAAAAAGAAAAGTTATTTACTACAGATACAGAATCCAGAGTCATCAGAAGGTTTGATTTTATTAGTAATTAACAGAAAGTGAGTTAAAGCACAAAGGAAAAGTTACAGATAAACTAGGAGGATTATGAGTGATCGTAGGAGCACTTTTCTGGTGGAAAAAGGGCAATTCACTGATGAAACCTAAAACACTTAGGGTTAATATCCAACAGTTTTTAATAGTAAACTTTTTGTTCTGAATTTAGTGATATTTTAAATATTTTTAAATATTTCAGGTTTTTTATTTGTTTGGTTGGGGCCACACTTGGCAGTGATCAAGGCTTACTTCTAGCTCTGTGCTTACGGACCACTTCTGGTAATATTTTGGATTCTGTATGCGGTGCTTGGGATTGAACTGGGCTCAGTGTGTACAAGATAAGCACCTTGACCCCCTATATTACTTTACAACAGATTATTTTAAAAATTTTTACAGTAATTATTAATCCAACATATTTAGGTTACCTTGAAAATTAAATTTTAATTAAATCTAAAGTGTATTTCTAAAGTGATTATGAATTAAGAAGACAGCTGTGTTTAAATACTGAAAATTAGTTTGAACATAAAAGCTTTCTCTTTGACTTAGAATATTTTTGTTTTTCTTTTTAGTTTTGTCCATCAACAAAAGGCACAACTAGATACCTCACTTCTACTGGTGCAGATGGCACAATCTGTTTCTGGCAATGGCATGTAAAAACAATGAAGTTTAGGTAAGTTTAAAGCTGGGTTAGAAATTTTACAAAGAGGATCAGAGTGTGATAGAACAGTGGGTAAGGTGCTTTCCTTGAATGTGTGCTAACCCAGGTTTGATCCTCAACACTACACATGGTCCTCCTGAACTTTGCCTTGAATGATCGCAGAGCACAGAGCTAGGAGTAAACCCTGAGCACAGCCAAATGTGCCCCAAAATCGAGAAAAAATTTTATGAAATGTCAAGCATATTTAGTTTTTCTTGAACATAAGGTATTCTTAGTTGTAGAATACAGACCGAATGATGGCCACTCAATACCTTTATTGCAAACCATAATACCCATAAGGAGAGAGAGCACAAAAGGGAATGCCCTGCCACAGAGGTAGGGTGGGGGGCTGGGGGGGTGGGAGGGATACTGAGATTATTGGTGGTGGAGAATGGGCACTGTGAAGGGATGGGTACTCATACTCATTGTATGACTGAAATGTAAGCATGAAAGCTTGTATGTAAGTCTGTAACTGTACCTCACGGTGATTCATTAAAATTTTTTTTAATTCAAAATATTAAAAAATGAAAGGATATTCTTAATTTTCTAGGTATTTAAATATATGTATCTATATATATACATATAAACCAACTATACTATTTCTATAGTATATTTCAGATATTAGAATAAAAATTTTATGAACCTATTCTGAAGAAAATATAATAAAAAAGAATTTGGTTAAGGAATACTTGTTATATATCTTATTCTGATAAGAGGACTTTGAGCTTAATAGATTACAATCACTGACCTGCTCACCAAGTAGACAAAATAATGTAAATTTTGAATGCCTACGAAATATAACTGCATAACTTGCTGTTGCTTAGAAGTCTTACCACTAACATAGCAGTTGATTAACATTATTTTGTGTGTTGTATTATACATAACATATAGTTTGCTGTATTTTTATAATAAATGTATATACATTTATAAGATATAATGCTTTTTAATAAAGTAAATTATATAATAAAATAAATGTATCATAATAATTTTTATAATAAAATATATCAGAAAATAAATGTCATAAGAAAGAGAAATATATTAACAGCACCAAACTTTCTACAAGATCAAATTATTTCAGTACCAACATCTATGTTTTATATGATGCAGAACAGTGTGAATATTATACATATTACCAACATTAAATGTGAGAAATGAAAAGATAATTTCAAGAAGAAATTTATTTAGCTGAAAAGATTGTACAGGCACTATGGCACTCATCTTGCACACATCCAACCCTGGTTTTACACTAGCTTGGACCCTGGACCACAAGTGATCCCCCAAACACTGTCGAGAGAGATCTTTCAGCACAGAACCAGGAGAAAGCCCTAGCACCACCAGGTGTAGTCCACGCCCCCCAAAGGAAAAGAAAAGGAAATTAATTTTTATTTATAGATATAATTATTCTTGCAATAATAGCGAAGAGGCAACAATAGAGTTGCTTCATGCTAACCTTTGGCAATCAATTGCTATTTAGTAATCTGACATATACTAATGAATGAATTTCTATAAATTTTAAGGCAGTCATTCACATTGCAATCTTGCAAAATGTAGTTTTGAAATCATTGTTACATTGAAAAACTTTACCTATGACGTGCAGGACTCATACACCACTCTGGAGATTAATAATTAGCTCAGTCTGAGATGTAGACTCTATGCCTCTCTGGAGAATCTGTATTCTCTCTTAAATATATATTTTCTATTTGTCTCTTCTCACATTTTTCTATGTAAATTTTTAAAAATAAAACTATTGTACTTCACAGTAAACGATCTTATTTATGTTAAAAGATTAGTTTCAAAGCTCCAAATAATTTTCCAGTATATTGTTTGAAAAAGATCAGCCTAAAAATTGATTCACATAGTTGAAACCCATACTTTTCAAGGATCAGTTATGGTAAAATAGAATTCATTGACTTTTAATATTGTATTTTCTTTATTATTGATGCTAAAACTATCTGTCAATTTCTAGCAGTATGCTGAGGTTCTTCTGTATTAGATAAAAATGATAAAATCTAAAAACACGTAATTCCTTTTACTTTAGAGATCGCCCAGTGAAATTTACTGAACGATCCAGACCTGGAGTACAGATATCGTGTTCATCTTTCAGTTCTGGTAAGTATTTAAAACTGAACTTTTTTGTACCCAATATATTATGTAATCTAATTGTGAAATAAATACTGTACTTTAATGCATCTTGGAAAAATGTCTGTTTTCAAATGTGGTTGGAAGCATGCCATAATTGTTAACATGTTATAATAGATGTACCTTTGTGGACTCTAATTAGCATGTAATATCTATTTGTTTTTTATTTGGAGTTTAGTTGGCAAAAATAAAGAACTCCCTGCCCCAGTTATCCAATATAAAGAAAGTTTAGTTACCTTTACTGCTATCAATTCAACACTAAAATTCTACACTGACCTTTCAGAAAATATTTAATTCTGATTACATCTATAGAAAACACTATTACAGCCTGTAAATAATGATTTCTACTGATAATTAAACAATATAAAATGTTTCATAAAAATTTGTCATTTTTTAAATCTATTTTTTTTATTAGTGAAACACCATGAGGTACAGTTGTAGACTTACCCACATTCTTAACTGTACAGTTCTGTAGTATTAATTACATTCATATTCTGCATTCATTATGCTAATACCCTTTAGAATTTTTTCATCATCCCAAAGCAGTTCATATTTCTCAGTCAGTCACTGTAAGAAGATTCATAGATATAGAGGGGTTATAAATTGTTTTAGAACTCTATATTTTTACACAGAATATAAAGAAATTTTCAAGGCTCTGACCCATAATGCTTATTATCTAAAGATCTCTATTATTGCATAGTTGGTAGATAGGGTTGTGGATATAAATGCCTTCAGTTATATCTCTCAGTTTTCTTCAATTTTATTTTTTCTAAAATGTTAGTATTTTGTTAGTCATTAGATGATACTCTTCTGTTTCTTGAAGGCTTTTATTTTGAAAATATATAACTAAAGAAGCACTATGGGTGTTTTTTAGTCTCAATATTTTTTTTTAAATTCTCCTAGGTGGTATGTTCATTACAACAGGTAGCACGGACCATGTGATTAGAATATATTATTTGGGTTCTGAGATTCCTGAGAAAATTGCTGAATTAGAGTCACATACGGTAAGAGCAAAATATGAAACTTAAATAAATATCTTGTATGTTTCATTAACAACACTAAAAAATTGACTTTCTATATTTTCTGATCTTTGTCCTGTTTTATTATTAGTGCTGAAAACTATATGGTTTCTTTTTAGCTATTAATGTCAATATAAAATTTCAGATTTTATATGGTTATAATCTTTATTTAAAAATGTTTGCATTGCTAATCAAGGTAACGTGTTTACAATAACGTTGATATTAATACTTTGTGAACATTACTACTGTTTTCACTACCAAGAAAGTGCCTGAAACCCTCCACACCGACTTGATAGCACTTCTAGTGCGCCTTTTCCTCTTCTTCCCTTGCTCCCTTACTTGTATCTTCAGTTCTGTATTCAGATCTCAATACTGTTTATTCCCTTTGTTTCTTTATACAGATATGGATTAAATTTTAAGATGAATTCTATTTTAATATATAGAAAAAGGGAAGCACACATATATACTACAGTGATAGTTTATGAAAATTCATTTTATCCATCAATGATTTATTAATTATATAAGCCACCTTTACACTAAAATCTATATACTTAATAAATTTAGTATATCTTAGGAAAATTACTTTTATTTGCTTGTTAGTCTTAATATGGGCTGGAGCAATAGCACAACGGTAGGGCGTCTGCCTTGCACCCAGATGACCCAGGATCCATTAATCTGCCCCTCTTGGAGAGCCCGGCAAGCTACTGAGAGTATCTTGCCCGCATGGCAAAGCCTGGCAATCTACCGGTGATGTATTCGATATGCCAAAAACAGTAACAAAAAGTCTCACAATTTGTTGTGAGACGTTACTGGTGCTCGCTTGAGCAAATCGATGAACAATGAGAGCACAGTGCTACAGTCTTGTATTGTTTTCATGTTAAAGATTCTACTTTACTTATTAATATGATTCTGCATGGTTATCAATAACATCCTCCCTTCAGGAACAACTTTATGCCCCGGGGTACAGCCATTAATGATGATACTCTTTCTTTCATGTTATCGCCATGAACTTGCACCATTTTCAGAAATCTTGGAGTCATTATAGTTTAGTCATAGTATTTTTTGCTGCTGTTTGGGGGCCATACTCTGTAGTGTTCAGGGCTTACTTATGGCTCTACCTACACTCAGGGATCACTTCTGGCAGAGCTCAGACCTTATGTGGTGCTGCAGATTGAACCTGAGTCTGCTGTATGCAAGGCAAACACTTTACCAACTTTACTGTCTCTCTAGTCCATTGATCTGGGCTCTAGCATATTGTATGTGTTTGTGTGTGAGTGGTATTTTTTGTGTGTGTGTGTGTATATTGAAGGAGTGGGTGGGGTTTAGCTACATCTCACTGTGCTTACTACTGGCTGCTGCCCAGAGTTACTCCTAGTGATGCACTGTGGACTGTATAAAACTCCGAAGGTGGCCAGAGCATGGCCCTGACGGCTCTTCCCCTGGCCGCCCAGGTTCTGGGGGGCCCGGGCCGCCCCCCATCCAGGGTGGCCTGAGCCGTGGGGCAGACAGTGGACAAAACAAGGGCCAAGCTGGTTGATTGATTAGATGCTGTTTATTCCATTCTCGTCCCTGTTCACTCCTGTTTCTCTCCTTCTCTCCCAGGCCCCGATCTGGAACCCCTCTTTCCTGGCTCTTGAGCTGATCTTCACCCCCCAGCCCACTCTTACAGTCTAGTTAAATCCCCCAACCATGAGGGGCTGGACTTACATATAGGTGTGGTCACAATCAATTGGGGTAAAGTTCTTTCCCTCAGGGGATGCTGCCTCAAGGACAGATTCTCTTTCAGCAGGATGACCCACCCAAGGGTGGAATCTCATGGGTGTGTTTCTCCTCTCCTTGTCCAACAAACATATAAGCATTTATAATGTTAATCATTTTGTATTGACACAGTAAGAGATGCATTAAGCTTATAGAATTGCTCTCCTGGGGTCATCTCAGGCCAGATTAGTCTTTCCTATCCCTAGCAGGGTCCTAGTCTCATCCTTGCTTTTGGATCATGACAGCATTTGTCATGATCAGGCTCTTAATTTATAGTTAAGAATTGTGGCGCTTTGTCCAGTCCCATCTCAATGCTAAGCTAGCACATAGCTTACCACTTGTCCTGGTTCCATCCAGTCCCTCATCGGGACCCTGCTTTTGGGGGCGCTAGGAAGTGAGGGCATCTGAGGCTTAAGTTGAGAAAGCAGATGTCCGGGAATGAATAATATTCGAAGCCATTTAAATCCCAAGTTACAAAAGGTAAAGGTAAAGGTAAAGGTAAAGGCCCTCCCGTTGATCGTTGATTTGCTCGAGCGGGCCCAGTAATGTCTCCATTGGAGACTTTGTTGTTACTGTGTTTGGCATATCGAATACTCTCGGTAGCTTGTCGGGCTCTCCGAGAGGGGCAGAGGAATCGAACTCGGGTCGGCCATGTTGGCCGCTTGTAAGGCGAATGCCCTACCGCTGTGCTATCGCTCCAGCCCAAGTTACAAAAGCATAATATTAATTATTTTCTTGTGTCTATACAGAAGGACATTGCTTTAAAATAAACTATTCAAAAGACCTAAGGAGAGGAGAAAGGCAGTATTAACTTACAATATAAGTTCACTGTTCTAAAAAGATCTGACCTTACAAATTAACAGAAACTAATTAGGGGAATAAGCTGATTAACTGTTTGGGGAAGAGAGCATATAGAAGTGGTTACAGATAAACAAAAGAATGGGAGTGACTTGGGAGCACTTTGATGGGTGTGACCTGATAAATGTAAGCTCCTTGTGGCAAGGGAGAAAGGACAAAGTAATGTTATCCTACAGTGGACATTTTGTGGTACCAGAGATCAAATCTGGCACTCAATCTGAGTTTATCTAGTTAGAGAAATTAATTCATGCTACAGCATAAGTACAAATTACATACATGGGCAAGTTATGAACTCCAGTCTTTTGAGCTATCTCCCTGAATGCTAAATCACTTAAAGTGATGTTTTAGTGAGTTGCCTTATTATGGGGGTGGGCATAATTAGCTATTATATGTTCTAAACTATCTATGTTTTATGATTGTGTTTTAGAAGCAGGTTTTCTAATATCTGGTACTGCTGATAAGGATTACTTTTTGCTTTTAAGTTCATTGCTTCAGCCTCTGTTTATTTTGAAAGAAAATTAATTGTTTTTAAATATTAGTATCATATACCTACTCCATGGTGCTTTTGCATGTTAATTTGATGGAATAAGTACTTTATTCATTTTATATATAAACTAATTATCCTTTTTTTAGGACAAGGTTGTTGCTGTTCAGTTCTGTAACAATGGAGACAGGTAAGTACACAATATAATACCTGTGTTAACAGATTTATAAGATATTTTATCTATGTTTTCTTTCTTTCCTTTCTCCTTTCTCTCTATTTTTCTATCTTTATGTTTTTTCTCTTTCTTTTTCTCTATCCTTCCTTCCTTCCTTCCTTCCTTCCTTCCTTCCTTCCTTCCTTCCTTCCCTCTATCTCTCTTTCTTTCTCTCTCTCTCTCTTTCTTTCTTTCTTTCTTTCTTTCTTTCTTTCTTTCTTTCCTTCTTTCTTTCTTTCTTTTTCTTTCTTCTTTCATTTTGGGCCACACCCAGCAGTGCACTGGGCTTATTCCTGGCTCTGCTCTCAGGGATCACTCCTAGCAGTGCTCAGGGGACCATAAGGGGCACTGGGGAATAAACCTAGGTTGGTCATGTGCACAGAAAACACCCTATAGACTGAACTATTGCTAAGGCCCTTTACATCTCTTTTCTCAGAAACAACTACCTCTACTTTATTCCTTTCCAATCACATAGGGTTAAACTGCCTTTTTATTGCTGGTGATGCCTTTATCGTGAAAGTATTACACAATTGATCGCTTATTCTTTCTGAGTGATTTCTTATTTGTTGAATTTTATTTAGCCATTTCTGAAACTTCTTAACTTAATTAAGCATTTTATTATTTGGCCCATGACCTTCAGTTAATTTCTCCTTTCTTTTTCTAAAATTTTATTATAGTTTAGGAGATTATGATATTAAAATTTATATCGATAAATATACTGCATTCCAACACCACCGTAGTGCCCATCACCCTCTACCACTGTTTCTATATTTCTTCTAGTTTGATCTTCTTTCTCCCCCTCACCTTTGTTTGATAATTGGTTCTGTATTTTAATGTCAGGTGTTTGTCTTTGTCAGGACTCTCTATGTTTTTAAAAGATCCCATCAAAAGTAGGGAGAGGAGATGAAAAGGCACTTCCTCAAAGAAGACATAAGGTGGCTAATAGGCATATGAAAATTACTCACTGTCACTTGCGATTAGGGAAATACTTATCAAAGCAACATCAGTGAGATTTTACCTCACATGTGAGAATGGGTTATGTTTTCAAAATGGAATTAGCTAGTATTGACAAAGATGTAATAAAAAAGCAACTCCCATCCCATTTATTGTCAGGGGGTGTTTAACCTTTGTGGGAGGTTTCTACTTTAGAGCATCTGTGCCAAAATACAAAATTACCAATTCAGAGGGATATATGCATACCCAGGTTTACTATACTGATTATGATATATACTAAGATATGGAATCAGTCCAAATGTTGTTGTTCTTTGTTCTTTGTATTTGGGGGGGGGGCATACCTGACAATACTAAGGACTTAATCCAGGCTCTGAGCTCAGAGATTACTCCTAGAGGGGCTCAGGGGACCATATGAAATGCCAGAGATAGAACCTGGGTCTTCACATATAATGCAAGTACTCTACATGCTATATTCTCTAGCTGCTCTCTTTTCTTTTTTAAATGCATCTTTCCCATTTTTTTCCAGATCATCATTGCTCTCTTGAGAAGTCTTCAGTGTTCCCTCTAAGATAGGAATTCAAATGATTAAAATAGCCCAGCTTTTAGAACACTCTATAATTTGACATAGGGCTTTTCTTAAATATAATTTGACTTAGGTATTTTTAAAAATATTATTACCCATATATATCTTCAGACCAAGTCTAATAGATTATTGTTCCTGTTATAGCCCTTGTGTATTCTTTGATCCATTTTTTTGTTTATTCTTTTCCTCATACCATTCTGTTATGCCCCATGTTTTTCCCCTCCTAATTCACTTTCTTCACAGTTCCCCTCATTTTCCCACTATTAATCCTTTTCCTTTCTTTCCTTTCTCTTCTTTAAGACATCTCTAAGGTTCTTTAACTCCTTTAAAACTTCTTGCCATACCTGAAATCTTCACTACTACAGCTGTTAATTTTTTGTCTTCCATATTATTTAATAACTCTGAAGACATGATACATATTTCTTAGGTTTGTAAACTCGGGTATTTTTTCACACTCTGAAATATCTGATTCAAAGAAAGGTATAATCTTCTTCTTTAACTAATGTTGATTTAGACTAAATTTAGAAATTTAACACAGCATAAAATATATAACTATATATTTATGTAATGATTTATATAGGTGACCATGTCTTTATCTTTCTTAGAATTTGGATAGTTGATAATTTGTTCATCTTTTTTAAATGTGAGAGTAAATAATAATGGTTTATGAAGTTATATATATGACTATATATAACTATACATATATACAGTGTTATATATACATATACATACATATATATGTGTATATATGTATATATATATATATATATATATCTGGTTCTCAGATATAGGGAAGGACCAAGAGGAGTTTCTACTCAGTTCAGGCAGTTTACCTGTCAGTCTTGCAAGGGCACACTCAGGTCTTCTTTATCTATCTCCATGGCCTGGGAACAAGTTTCTGCAATCCTGGGTTCTAAGACCTGGTTGAGTATTGGAACCTAAATTGCCATGAGCCCATGATTTGTCTGATGGAGAGAAATAAGTTAATGCACTGGACTTCGACAGCAGGTTTTTTGTTGCAAATAAAATAATTCAAGGTGAGACTGTGTCTAAATAAGTGGGGTTTTTTGTTTTGTTTTGAGGTCACACCTGGCAGTGCTTAGGGTTTACTCCTGCCTTTGTACTCTGGGATCACTCCTGGTGGGACTTGGGGGCCATATGGGGTACTGTGATCGAACCAGGTGGATTGCATGCAAGGCAAGTGCCCTACTTGGCTATAATATCACTCCATGCAGTGTGCACATAATTGGTAAATGAAGTTAATAATTTTCATTAATTTTTAAAGCATTAAAAATGAATTTACACAAAGTGACTGCATGCCCTTTTAAAAAGACAAACGCCCATCATGTTTTGGAGGAAAGGTATTTGTGGAACTACTATTATGGTATTTATGGTATTTATGGATTTACTAAGAGGGAAGGTCATGTGTAAGATCTTGGGTAAGAATAGAATGATTCCAGGGCTGGAGTGATACTATAGCGGGTAAGATATTTACCTTGCACATGACCTACCCGGGTTCATTCCCCATCATCCCATAAGTTCTCCTGTGCACCACTGAGACTAATTTCTGAGTAGCAGAGCCAGGAGTCAAACCTGAGCACCACCAGGTATGGCCCCCAAACAAAACAAAACAAAACAAAAAGAATAGAATGATTCCAGTTGTGCTAAGATTGTGCAGATGAATAGGGATTTCATATTCATGTGCATTGTGTATAATTAGGACACATGTAAATTAATATTAATACTCGTGTGCATTGTGCATCATTAGGACACATGTAAATTAATGTTTATTTGGGACTTAATCACAGGAAAGGCAAAATTAGGATCACCATTTTGCTTTCTGTGTGTGCACTCCTGACTCTATAGAACTGGTTCTTCAGATACCTTGTGTTGTCAGGAAATTTCTAACTGCAAGACTGCTGGCTCCTGGCTTTTTCCTCTTTTCTCATGGTTTCTCTTCCTCTTAATAATTTTTACACTGCCTCCCTATATCATTAGAAATGTGAGGTTTTTAAATAAGTTTTTTTATTTGTTTGTGTTCCTGGGTGTCAAATTTAGGGCCTCATATATGCAAGGAAAGTATTCTACAACCGAACTACATCCTTGGTCTCAAAATAAGTTTTACGGTTAGTTTTGTTGGAGTGGATACTTGACAGTTTGTACAACCATGATGTCTTCATTCTAAAATATCTGAATTTTCAATTGGTTGCCGTTTTCCTTAAAAGAATGAACATTATTTTATCTTAATGTGGTCAATAAGCAAATAAATCTGTCCAGTTTTACTAAAATCAAAGAATTGAAATATAAAATAATGACAGTTTTTTCTTTCAGAATGACAACATAATGAAGAATGATGATATACAATATTACCAAAATTTTAGGGAATCTTGCCACTCTTCCACAGCTTTTGATGAGATTATAATTGTGTGTAAAAGAAAACTTTCAGGGGAATAATTTGGTAGTAGTATATAGCAAAAATTTTTATTTACCTACCTATCACTCATCACAATACATGTTTAAGGTTGTATAAAGGTATATAAAAACCATTGATGTGCAACATTATTTATAATGGTAGTGACCAGAGGTAGTATTTTTTTCACACAACCTCCATATAATTATTCCATATTATACATCATGTAAGTGTTCCATATAATTGAAAATGATGAAAAAGTTCATGTAAAAGTAGATATTTACAAAACACTCTGAGGGAAAATCATTATAAACATATGTAGTGTGAATCTAATTCCTGGGAATGAAAATATTTATGTATTTATTAAACTTTGGATGAATATAAATTTAAGTGTGGCCAATAGCAGAATTATGGATGGGTTAACGAATATTCAAATGCTTTAATGAGTTATAATCAAGGTTTTTATTATACTTAGAGAGTTCTGAACCTTCTCAACAATTTTTGTACATATTTCTCAATCTGAATAGGTGCTTCAACTCTTTATCCCCAGTCGTTTTGTACCTTCACTGTGCTCTGGGCAACCATTAATTTACTTTTTATCTAGATAGATTTGTATGTTCTATAAATTTAAGATAAATGAAACAATGCAGTATTTTGCCTTTTGTGACTGACATTTATTATTTAGCATATTTTCATTATTTATCCATGTAGAAAAAACATTATTCTTTCTTATTGAATAAGGTTTGTTTACATGAAAATATGATTTGTTCATTTATTGGCTCGTGGACATTTGAATCATTACTTCATTTCACTTATTATGAATAATGCCATTTGTTTATGTACAATATTGATTTGCATTTTCATGTCACTTGGACATATATTTGAGAATAATATCTCAGAGTCACGTGGTATCTATGTTTATAATTTTGAGAAATTCCCAAACTATTTTTCAGATTGTAGCCTTTTTAATCCTGCCCTTGTAGTTTATAATGATGAATATATTACTTACAAAATTTGTAAAAAAAATAAATAAATATGATTTAATTATAGAAAAACATAACAGTGGCATTTTAAAAGGATGTTATATTTCTTTGCAGTTTAAGATTTGTTAGTGGCAGTCGAGATGGAACAGCAAGAATTTGGCAGTATCAGCAACAAGAATGGAAAAGTATAGTGCTAGATATGGCTACTAAAATGACTGGGTAAGATTGGATATTGTACATATATTTGTGGTTTTCATAAGCTGTATTACTTCGAGGTTGTTTAATGATATTTAATAATTAATTATCTCTTTACATTAGGACTGTTTGGAGTTAATTGATAAAAAGTCTGCGTCTATTTTTAGTCTCTAAGTCAATTTGCCATTTTTGCAGCTTATTAACACTGGAACATTTCTGAGTCATTTAAAATTCTGGTTTCTTATGAGGATTTAGAAACATAGTTTAGGTTTTTTCATCTAAAATGTTAGATGTTTCTCGTAGCTCAGGTAGAGAAGGGAACACCAAGTAAAGAGTGTTTGAGGACTTGCTCTAGATATGAGACGTATGCTGAAAGTAGACTATAGACCAAACACGATGGCCACTCAATACCTCTATTGCAAACCACAACACCCTAAAGGAAAGAGAGAGCAAAAAGGAATGCCCTGCCATAGAGGTGGGGCGGGGTTGGGGGGATGGAGGGGGTGGGAGGGCTATTGGATTCATTGGTGATGGAGAATGGGCACTGGTGGAGGGATGGGTCCTTGATCATTGTATAACTGAAACCCAAACACAAAAATATGTAAGTCTACAACTGTACCTCATGGTATTTCACTAATAAAAAAATACATTTAAATAGTTACACTTTGGGATTAAAATAAATAATAAATAAATAAAATGTTAAATGTTTCTGATGATATTTTGGGCATAATTTGATATATTAGATGAATTTGTGTTAAAATTTTACATTTATAGATACTATAAATTATTCTGTGTAGGAATAATTTGCCATCTGGTGAAGACAAGGCCACTAAACTTAAGGTGACTATGGTTGCCTGGGATCGCTATGATACCACAGTTATTACTGCAGTGAACAATTTCCTTTTGAAAGTATGGAATTCTTTCACAGGGCAACTTATTCATACTTTATCTGTAAGTATTCTAAGTTTAGAAAATTAAAATAGTTAAAAAGGCATTATTCTTTCATGTTCTTGTATTTATTCATCTAATATTTCATTTAAAGACATGTAAGTTACTTTGTTTTTAGCTTGAGCTGGGAGTTTTTATTTTTATTGTTTAGGAGTAGAGCTGTATTTTGACAAAGGTATCATATAGTCTGTCTGCCCAGTTTAGTTTATTCAAGAAGTAGAGGAAGATAAGTAGAAGGAAAAACTTGAATTTTCACAAAGACTACAATACTTGTGATATGAAAAATTGATAATACTAATATCAAAAATCATATGTGAAGGAGTAGATATTTGAAGTTTTATCATTATAGGTAGTGACCTCAATTTAAATTCCTGTTAAAAGACTCATTTCTTTTCTGCCTCAATTATTGATTCATAAATACCTTAAAGAAAGTGCTGAGTGAATAACATGCAGTAGTGAGTAATAAGTAGTGAGTGATAAGTAGTGACACACAGTAGTGAGTGATAGGATTCAGACTAGAAAACATAATTAAGAACTAAGTTCTCCTTGTACTATACCAGGGTTACTTGTTTCTGCCCCCTTCCCTTTGTTGTTGCTATGCCAGGCATGCAAGTCCTACATTAATTGTGCTGCTCTAGTATTGCACACTGGGTTGAGGTGCCTGCACACTGGTGATAGTAGGGTAATAATGGTAGTGCCAAAGATAACACTCAGTGTTCTTGGCAGTGCTCACCAGGGGTTACACACTTGGTTGTGGTGATTGCCAATAATTGCAAACTTTAAAAACTTGTTTGCATTACATATGCACTTAGCTGTGGTGCTTTCCAGGGGATGCTCTCTTCATTGAAGCACTTGCCAGGACTTAAACTCTTATTTATAGTTCTTGTACTCACATTGTTGAGGTGTTTGCCATGGTTCAACTTGATTGCAGTGCTTACATACATTTTTGTCTCATTGTACTTAGAGACCTCACATTTATGTTTGACAGGGATTGCACTTACTGGTGTGGGGAGGTGCCAGGATAAGGTGTAAATAGCAAAAGTAAAAGGTGATGTCTATGCAAATTTTAGTATTTTTTCTGTTTTATTGAACAATGCTGGTGTAATTTTGATAGGAATTGTATTAAACCTGTACATCACTTTGGAGAAGATGGCTATTTAGTACTGCCAGTTATTCCATGAGCATGTAGTATCTTGGTGCCTTCTAGTTATATTAATGTCTTGTAGTTCGTGTTTTCCTCATTTCTTTTGCTTTTTATTATTGTTGCATTGTTTGGGTCTTGCACAGTTAGTTCTGTTGCTTGCATTTATACTTGTTGACAAGGTGCTGTAGAGCACACATTTGTGTGGCAGTGAGGATCACAAAGGTTATGCCACTGGGAATGTGCTTGACAAGTGGAATGGTTCCATTTATAGAACTTGTGTCCTCCTGACTGCAAGGATGTTAGTTGTTCTACCACTAGACACATTGGGCCCAAGAGTGTTTTATAGTTTTTATTGTATGGGTCTTTCACCTCCTTTGTTAAGCTTAGCCTTGGGTATTTTGATTAACTTGTAAAATAGACTATCTGTTTAGTTTTCTGCTAATTTATTGTTTTCATGTAGAAATGGAATAGACTATTGTTTATTGAGTTCTTTTTCTTTCCACGTTATTGTATCATTTATTGAAGTAATAAACAAGTAATTTTCCACTTGAAAAACCCTAAGGATATCACTGGTAAAATGTATTTTGTTGTTAATATTACTTTGTTTACTTTCTATCAGTGTGGAAGAGGGTTCAATAAATAGTAGATTATATGTGTGAAGAAGATATATAATTGGTAAAGCTTTCAATGAAGACGGTAACTATTTGGCTTACTATCATTAAATGAAATTTTATTATTTTAGACATTTTTTAGTCATTGTCAAATTGCAAAGTTATTCATGATTTCGTTTCAGGTGTATATTGTTTCCATACCAGTTCCTTCACCTGTGCTCACTTCCCACCAACAATTTCCAACCTCCTCCCCAGGTTTGCCTCCCATCCAAAAGTCTGCCTCTATGAGGGGAACATTTTTTAAATGTTTAAGTTTTTGCATTGTACTGTTGCTGACATGGTTTATTACATAACGCTTTACCACCTTTTAGCACCACATCCTCTACCAGGTTGATCTTCCCTCCAGCATGAGGTCCTTGACACCTCACTGTCGTATCTCCCCGCCCCTTGAAGTGGTATGTTTCCTACTGAGAACCATTTCTCATGTTGTTTCCTTTGTCTTTGGGTGTTAATTATTACCCCTTTATGTTTCCTTATGCCCCAAATATGAGAGATATCATTCTATGTCCCTTTTTCTTCCTCTAATTTTACCCAGTATATTTACCAGGTCCTTTCATGGAGCAGCAAACTGTATGACTTTATCTTATCTTATGGCTGAGTAATATTTCATTGTGTATATGTACGATAGTTTCTTTTTTTATGTAGGAGTACTGCTATTTATTCAGCCACTGATTAGCTGATTGAATTGGGCCTGAACTCCACCTTACTTTTTTTTCACTTTTTATAATTTTATTTATTAAATAACCATCAGAGCAGTTACAAAGGTTTTGTGTTTAAGTCTCGGTCATACAATGAGACACCCGTACCTTCACCAGTGCCCATTCTCCAACACCAAAAGCCCCAGTATAGCCCCATCCCACACCCTCACCCTAACTGTGGGGCAGATGATTTCCACATTACGTTCTCTCTACTTTGATTACATTCAATAGTGTGACACCATACCCACCATTAATATTTGGGATTTTACCTCAACACTCAGATTTGCTGAAAAGGCAACAGTAGACAATTTGTTTTCTATTGCTGGTTATGAATAACATATAATGTCATGTGGCTGCAGTAGTGGCTGCGTGATTTTGAAATTCGAAATTTTAACACTTAAAATTTCTGCCAAAACCTGCTGGGTTCTGAGATTTGTACCTGAGTCTCTGGGATCATGGCCATTAAGCAGCTTGATCGGGAGCCAGAAAGGCCGTTCGTGGGCAGCAACTCGGGGTCTCATTGGGATGGGGAGGAAAGGGCCGGCTCCATCCCCATCCCATGAGGCCCCATGTGTCTCCTCACTGCAGGCCCAAACCTGACTGTCCAATAGCCTCTGGCAGATGGAGGTCACTGAGCAGCCAAGGGGAAGCAGGTGTAGTGACAGCACCCTTTCCCCCCTGGGGTGGCCCAGTGACAGTAACCTACTATGGGGTCCAGACGCATTTCTGCCAAAAGCCGCTGGGTTTTGAGATTTGTTTCTGAGTCTCTGGGATAATGCCCATTAAACGGTTTGATCAGGAGCCAGAGAGGCCGTTCGTGGGCTGCAACTCGGGGTCTCATTGGGGTGAGGAGGAAAGGGCCGGCTCCACCCCCATCCCGTGAGGCCCCACGTGTCTCGTCACTGCGGTCCTAAACCTGACTGTCCAGTTGACTCTGTAGGATGGGGGTCACCGGGCCACCAGGGGAACAGGTCAAGGCACGAAACCTATTCCCACGTTGGGTGGCCCAGTGCCGGTTACCTACTGCAGGAACAGGACGCATTTCTGCAAAATGCCATTGAATTCCGAGATTCTTTTCTGAGTGCTGGAATCATGGCCATTAAGCAGCTTGATCAGGCGCCAGAGAGACTATTCATGGGCGGTGACTTGGGATCTTGTTGGGCTGGGGAGGAAAGGGTCGGCTCCACCCCCATCCCTTGAGGCCCTATATGTCTCGTCACTGTGGGCCCAAACCTGACTGTCCAGTGGCCTCTGAAGGATGTTGGCCACCGGGCCGCCAGGGGGAACAGGCCAAGGCACGAAACATATTCCCACCTGGGGTGGCCCAGCGCCAGTAATCTACTGTAGGGACCGGATGCATTTTATGCCAAAAGCTGTTGGGTTTTGAGATTTGTTTCTGAGACTCTGGGATCATGGCCATTAAGAAGTTTGATCAGGAACCAGAGAGGCTATGCTTCCAATTATATAGCTGAACCGGAGGTGGTTTCTGGGTGTGTCTCCCACATACCTAACTTTTGGCCGTTTACTTTCTTGGTAAACTTTGCCCCAAGTTTTTGGGATCTGGCCAAAGACACAGCAAGCAATTTTGGGTTATCTGAAAGTCTGAAGGCACCATCAGGCTGCTAATGCACTCGCCTCACAGGTACAGATTAACCTGCTGGTGGCACCATACCCCCAACCATGGTTTCTTTATCCAGTCATCTATTCCTTTTTTTGCAGTATTTTTTAAATCAAATTACTCTGAGATATGCATTTACAAGCATGTTCCTGATTGGATGTAAGTCATACAATGTGCATTCCAACACTCATCCTGTCATCCTTTCAACACCCATCCCACCACCAATGTCCTCACTTTCCTTGCTGCCACCCCACCCATCCTCTATGGCAGACACTTTTCTCCCTCCCTCCCTTACTCTGGATGCCTGCCCTCCCTCCCTCCTTCCCTCTCTCCCTTCCCTCCCTCCCTTCCCCCCTGTCTTTTTTCTTTCTCTTTCTCTCTCTCTCCCTCCCTCTCTCTCTCCTTCTGGGAATTATGGTTTGCAATACAGATACTGAAAGCTTATCATGCGTGTCCATTTACATAGTTTCAGCACTCAGTTCTTGTCCAGACTGATCATTTTGAACTATCAGTGTCTTACGTAGGATAACAGTGGTCCATTGTCTGTCCTGATTGCCCTTCCCCCTATTACTTAATGCCTGCTTCCAATTGTGTACCCCCTCCTGGCTCTTGTTTCTGCTGTATCAGTCTCATACTATTTTTTTATATCCCACAAATGAGTAGTAATTCTATGTCCGATTCTTTCCTTGTTACTCATTTTACTCAGCATGACACGCTCCTTATTCATCCATTTATAAGCAAATTCCATGACTAGATTTGTCCTGGTGGATGCATAGTATTTCATTTTATAGAGATACCATATGGTCTTTATCCAGCCGTCTGTTCACAAACTGTTGTTTCCAGATTCTGGCTATTGTGATTTGTGCTGCAAT